TGTGTGTGTGTGTGTGTGTTCGGAAGCGAGTACGTTTTGTCAGCCACTTTCATCTCAGCAGCCAGGAAAGCTGAGAGACTGAAATTTTTGGGCATATGTTCCTACCCCGTGTGTCACCTCCCATTTCAAGATCTCCCAAACACGCCTAGACCCCACGTACAAACTCCCGAAAAAATATGCAAATTTTTTTGGCGGGAAATGATTTCGCAAACCGTGCAAGATAGAAAGTCGAAACCTTGCAGAGATATTCTTTGTGCATATGCGAGCTAAAGATTTTAAAAGCAGCTGTCACGCTTCCTTGTGCGACGTGTATGACCACGGCAAACTTTGCGACTTAGTACTGTGCTAACTTGAAAACTTGCCGGAAAACAGTGGCTGAAATTTTGTCAACATGTTTGTCACTCATACGGGAAATCTTACACTTAAAATAAGCGCCGATTTGAACTTGCGTCATGACTTAGGGCACTTCAGAAATATTTGTAGTAAAGTGGATATTTCGCTTGCCGAACTGAGGCTGGAACTTCGCTGGAATATTCTACTTTCAAGTGCGGTCTTAATTCTGGTTGGAGTGAAATTCCCTTCAGACGGTTGTGAGAAATACTCAACTTCACCGAAAAATCAGGAACGAGTGCATTTTGCATACGTGGATTTTTTGACAAACGACTGCTGAAGCAATATTTCACTTTTTAATGAACTGGAAATTTGCATTTTTTCAAAAAATTTGCATTTTTCATATTCTCAAAAAACGAGCATTTGCCGAAGAAACGACCGGGTTCATGCAAAAAACTGGTAATCGTGTACCTGGAGGTCCGTGCTGCTCTATAATGCACCACCTTCATCCCAACCGACGCCCTTCCTCCTGCATGCCGGAAAAGGCCAAAGCACGATCAGTATGAGCCCAAGTATTAGGCTACAGCGCAGGTATCATTCCTGCTATTAGCGACCTGCGAATTTAGTGCAAAAACGCATGATCGCACCGGCAAGCCTGGTGCGTTCTAGCTTTTGTTAACTAATGCGCTCAACATGTGAAAAATGCTTTTGCTGTCACACTGAATGAATTTCTGCATATTACTTTTGTGAACGTAGCCATGGCGTCATCGTTTTCGGACCGTACGAGAGCCAGACGTTTCTCTAGAGCGATAGTGTTGGCGTGTAGCTCATCCCGACTTCGCTGCTCTTCGTCTAGCTGCCCTTGAAGATTTTTTATTTGTTCAATGTAACGCTTGATGTTCTTCTGCACATCTACATTCATCCGGTTTGCTTGATCCAGCGTTACTTCCAGTTCCTGGTAATATAATTCAAAATAAACATGCTAAGGAAGAAAGTAGCATGCTCTTGTCCCGTCGCTCTGTACTTTCTCGATTCTAAATAGCAACATAAAATATGACCGAGGCAGACATTTGCAGACATTTGATAAGAGAACAGGGGATAGAATGAGAAGGGAGCACCAAAACACATCTTTTTGCCACAGATCTTACAGCAGTGCTCTCAACAAGAAATGGACAGCGAAGTCTGTTCACAAATGGACAGCTTTATTATACAAGTCTGTTCACAAATGCGTACAGTCGTCGTTTTAAGACAGCCGTAGAGTGAGATGGGAGGATAAGAGGGCGCTGATCTGAAGATTTCTCAAAGCTTTGTGGGATTTTACGCACGAAGTGAGTATATGCCTGTTGCAGCAGGTATTTTTCAAAAGACTTACGTTGATTTCCGACTCGTGTCGTTTTTTCTGGTGCAAAAAGTCCAACTTGGACTTTACTTCTTCCTCCAAAGACGCCTGCATAAATCAAACGAAATTAGAATTTCAGTACTCTTATTTTATTAGATTAATTCAATAATTTTCCTGAAAAGCAACGGTATATAAGAAATACAACAAAAACGAAAACTTGCTTGGATCGTGCGCTGGTGCATTTATTAAAAGAGAAGCTTTTGAATGAGAGATTGAGGGAAATGCTTAAAATTTCGCATAGCCCTAACCAACGGCCGTGCTTTGATTAATGAAACAAATTAGGCTATAATGCCAGAAATAGTAGAATGGAAGGACTGGTCTTAAGTATCAGCTGCCGAAGGACATTTTACTATGAGATAAGTCTGTGTTTCATCCCTTAGCTGTAAACACAGACCGAACTGTGCATGCGGGTAGGAGCGAGAATCATCAGCACAGCCTCCTATCCGCCATGTTTTGAATACATTGAAAATGCATTTGCCCTCTTGGCATGAAATCTCGAGGTCTAAAAAGCAAGCCCTTTGTCCTGAGTAGGTGGTGTTGAGTCGCAGGCTGGGTCAATTATTGGCGATTTCAGCAAAGTTGGCGCAGTTAACAATACGGATATCATCGATATACCAAAAGAGTTGAAGATGTGTAAGAGGATTTTGACGAAGGAATCGATACTCTTTAACCGATGATGTGAGATCGGCAATATCTGGACTAGCATTACTTCTAATTGGCACACCTTGTGTTTGCTTGAAAACGTAACTACTAAATCGTACGTATGTTTTTTGAAGAATAATTCGAAGCATTGCCTTGACTTCATCCTTTGTATAAGATATGACTTCACCCGTGAATTCGTTAGCATATCAGATTTGGGTTTACACCAATGTATTCCTTTCCGCACTGGAGGAGCAGAGGTTAACAAGATAGAATAGGTTATCGATAATGTGAGAATGAGGTAGACTGGTGGAAAGTTTGCTGAAGTCAGCTGTATGTATATATTTGATCTTGCTGCCTAGTGTGGAGAGCTTTTGAACCACAGTTAGTGAACTGGTAATGCTGAAGTAAACGCGCCGTCCATTGCGCATAGCCGTTTGGGTACAGTAATTGCGAAAATGTGTCTTAAAATGAAATAATATACAGAATAATCAAA